TGTGTGTGTGTGTGTGTGTGTGTGTGTGTAAATACAACACACCCCACCACCCCCCATCCATGCAAGGTATAATTGTCACAAATTATCAAAACATTTCTCATTTTGATGTTAGGAAAACAAAGTTGAAATGCTTGATGGTAATAATAAATAAAAACAGTAATGTTCAGAATGATGCACAAATAAATGGCATTTACATATATGATAAAACATTAAATTAAATTAAACAATAACATAAACTAAGAGAAAGCAAAAACTAGTCCTGAGCTTTATGAAATAACTTAAATGTTTTATGTTAAAAAAACACATGTACTGATCCCCACATCTGAACATCTACAGACATCAGGCATTCTTGAACATTTATTGCACACTGAAAAGAAATGATTAAGTATTAGGTAAATTTCTTTAAGGTAAGTGGATGCAAACTATTTAAATGGGCTGAATTTAAACAAATAACAAATAAACAAATAAGTTGAACATTCCTAAATTGAATTTGTTTGTTTATATTCAGCCCATATAAATTGCTTGCCTTTCTTTACCTTAAAAATGTGTAAATCCAATGAATTATTATTATTTTTTGCTGTTTGTTCAAACTACTTATTGAACTTAAATTTAACTAAAACCACACAATTCCTGAGCTTTTTAAAATAACTAATTTTTTATGATTAACCCACTTACAATCGTTAAAAATAAACAAGTTAGCCTAATTCCTTCATGCTGTCCCAAAACAAATAAATTGTGTGGAAATCAGCATTTTTAACTGTGTAGAATCTGTCAGAGGAAGAGAAATAGATAAGCAGGAAAGATTATTTGTGTACATTTGTCAAAATCAGCAAAAGCTAAAACACTTGCTTTAATGCACGTGTACATATTTCCTTATCTGAACATACAGATATCAGCTTTCTTGAACATTTATTACACTAAACAAATGACATTTGCTGATTATTCAAACTACTTATTTAAAATGAGCTGAAACAACACAATTCCTGAAGTGTTTAACTCAATTGTTTAGTGAATTGAACAAAAAAGAAATTGAGTTAATTTAATTTGTATTGGGATAACATTAAGCAACTGTGTGAAACCCAGTATTTCTTTACAGTCTACACTAAAACATTTATGTTTGCTGTTTGCTCAAACTGCTCATTTAAAATAAGCTTACAACACAATTCCTGATCTTTTTAAAACAACTGAATTCTTTTATGTTTAATTATTTTATGTTAAAACACTTTGCATTAAATACACACGTACAGATGTCCACTTCTGAACATTTACACACATCAGGCATTCTTAACCATTCATTACACACTGATAAAAAACAATTCAATGTATTTACAAAAACATTAAGTGGTTGCAAACAATTTATTTGGGTTGAATTTAATCAAACAAATCAAGTTGAACATTACTAAATTGAACGTGTTTGTTTCAATTCAGCCCATTTAAATCGTTTGCAACCCCTTACCTTAAATTTAGTAACAACAAATCATTTTTCAGTGCACTCAACAAATGACGTTTGCTGTTTGTTCGGCTACTTATTTAAAATAAGCACCATTCTCGAGGGTGAAACTTTATTTATGTTCAATCCACTTAAAATCTGTAAAGACAATTACATTAACTTAATTTGTGTTGGGATAATATGAAGGAATTTCTTTGCAGTCTACACTCAAAAAATGACATTTGTGGTTTGTTCAAACTAAAGCTCTGCAATTGGGTTGTTTAAGCTTCTTTTAAATACTTTAATTGTTTTATGTTAAAAACACTTGCACTAAATACACACATCTCCATATCTGAACATTTACAGACATCAGGCATTCTCTTGAACATTTATTACACACTAAAAAAAAAAGGATTCATTGGATTTACTAAAATAATTTAAGTTAAGCAATTGCAAACAATTGATATGGGCTGAATTTTAACAAATAATTTAAG